AAACAAACAATTATTTACTGGTGTCTTGCCTTAAAAATGCTTGAAAATAGGGAATGCCTGGACTCTTACTTGTGCCTTGTGCTGTAGCCCTAGATGTGCGGTCACACCGAGAGCGATGATAACAATGAGCAGCATGGCAGCAATACAACCCCAGAGAACTTTGTGAGGAACCCTGGAGGAGCTCATAGGACCACAGTGCTAGAAAATCCAAGCACACAATCATCTCCCTCCATGCTACATTTAAAGCACATTCACATTAAAGAATATTTATGGTTTGTACACATAAGCAAGCAATAAAACACAGCTAAGCAAAACACAAACTGACATATTTGTGTTATAATCTAAAGTATGCGTACTGCTAATGGAAAACAGCAATGAACTCTCACCATGTTCTGTGGGTCCTCCAGACTGGCTTCTGAATGCTTCCAGCACCTCACCATTCTGCCCTGTTTTGCTTCTCCTCACGGTACCTGTCTTACTTCTTTCTGTGTAAGGCAATGTTCATGACTGAGACTGACCAGCGGTGCCTGCGGTATAGGTGACTAACTCCTCTCTGCCATCCTCTGCCCCCCACCTCTTGCCTCACACCAGGTAGTCCAACCCACTGGCTGACTACCCCTATACCAGACAATAGACAAAGGGGACAGGTAGAGCGGCACTGTGGACAGGGCTTTTCGTCGCAGAGCCAGTTTTTAAGGCATCGACTGGCCATGCCCTTAGGCTGCTGACGGACCAAGGTGACTTTAATAACTTCAGAGGTGGTTATAGTGAGAAAACTGAAGTGCAGTCTCATTACAGGGAACCCAAAAATTAAAACTGTCATCATTTACTCACTCTCATGTCGTTCCAAAACTGTGTGACCTTCTTTCTTCTGGGGAACGTGAAATAAGACATTTTGATGAATGTATAACCACACAGTTTTCAAAATATAATTTCTCGAAACATTGTCTTTTATGTACCCCAGAAAAAAGTAAGTTCGGTAAGTAGTGAATTGTCATCCATTTAAGAAAAAGAAAACGTAGTACACTTTTCATTAACAATTCTTATTTATTTGATCCGTTAAGCAAAATGAACACTTTGTTCAAACCATGGTGAAGAAGTAAAATCCTACCAGGTTTATGGGTTCGTAAGTGACAAAGCTGTCAAGTGCAAAATATAATAATTAAAAATATTCATAATATTCTCTCACTCATTATATTACAAGTACAGTGAATTAACAGTACAGAATTGAACAAGTACTTCTGATAAAATAAAAACAAACGGCACAATTTTGACTAAGGGTCACTTGTTTTGTAGCACCCGAGTGTTACTGACCAGAAAACACATATTACAATTTTTTTAGACAAAATAAGACACAACAAAACAAACTTTAACACTAAAATGAAAACGTATTGCCCTTATATTACCTTAAAATAAAAAGTGGGATATTTAAAAAAAGAGGTAGGCCAGTTTGAAATGAAGCCTTGGTGACATAGTAAATCATACTGCATATATTTGTAGAGACAAACAATTTCTATTAAACCTATTTAGATGAACTGTAATATTAAAATATTGATTCCCATATATTGATAAATATTCTCTATTAAAGTGGGTAAATTCCAAGCAAACGCTGACTATGCTTGTAGTGCAGGTAAAATGTCAGCAATGCTCTCTATATAGTAGTCAGGCACCATTTTCTGCCGTTGTGGACATTCACACTTCTGGTTTGCCTCAGCTTCTGCTACAGTAGAAACTCCTGTGAGGGTCAGCAGGGTCTTCAGGCCACAGTTTGAGCCTAGCATGATGTCCGTGTCCAGTCTATCTCCGACCATCAGACACCTCTCAGGGTCCAGACCGAACTGGCTGGCCACACACTCGAACATGAAGATGTTGGGCTTTCCGACCACTTGAGCTTTGCGCTGCGCAGCGGTCTCTACCGCCCTTAGGAGGCACCCTGTCCCTGCAGACAAGCGGAAGACAAGGTCGTTGTGATAACACGACACGACATGATTCAAGGTAATGCATGTTTGTGACGTCATTCATGTCTGCTTACCCGGGACCGCTTTGCCTCCCTCCAGAGGCAGCCTCGTGTCCGTGTTAGTTCCCACGAACTGACAGTCGGGGTTACACAGGTACTGCAGAGCTCTGTTGAGCTTCATGTAACTGAAATGCTCATCAAAGCCGACCAGTACAGCTCGGACCTCATTATCGAGAGGAACATTCGCCCAGTCTTTCTGAACTCCTGAGACGGGGTCAGGCCCCACGCCGACCGGTCGGATCCCCACGCCCTCGAGCTCCTGCCTCATCGCATTGCTCCCAATTAAATAGACTTTTCCGTCGAGTTTACACACATTTTTGAGGTACACCGCCGAGCAGTACGCGGTCCCGAACACCTCGTCCGCCGAGGCATCGAAACCGAGTTTGCCTAATTTATCCGCGTACATTTGTCGGGTTTTCGTGCTGTTGTTTGTGACAAAAAACACCCGTTTTCCGTTTTTCTTCAATGAATTGATAACCTCAGGGGCTCCGGGGATGGCTTGGTCCCCTCTCCATATTACGCCATCGCAGTCAAACAGCACACTGTCCACCGAGTCCAGTAACTGTCTGCTCAGAACTCCAGTCAGTCGCGTACACTTAGATGCAGCCATTCCTCAAGTTACTCTCGATCTTCTTTCTTGTCCTCGGTCCGTCCTAAAATAACATTTGATCTTCACCTATCTACAAATAGTCCGCCGACTAGACGGAGATCAGCTTATGTCAGAATGACAGCGAACTGGAAATTACTAGTTGCGGCAACCGAACGGCACACTGCATCGTTTGACACTGTACGTGACGTTTTATACTAGTAAAGCACTTCCGCACCGGTTTAAAGGGCCAGTGACCCTAATAAAATGGTATGAAATAGACCTTGGGTAGGTGCCATTTAACATTTTTAAAAAAGCTATTTGTCTTGGAAAAGGGGGTTGTTAACAAGTGGCATTAAACCCACTTTACTCACACACTAGTCTGCTTTCATGTTGCATTTAGAGCCACACTCTAACCCATTATTCTAAATATATATATATATACAGAGCATTCAGAAAGAATTCAGACCCCCTTCACATTTTTCAATTTTGTTATGTTGCAGCCTGATACTACAATTGTTTAAATTAATTTTTTTCTCATTAATCTACACTCCATACCTCATAATGACAAGTGAAAACAGAATTTTAGAAATGTCTGTAAATTTATTAAAAAGAAAAAACTGAAATATCACATTTACATAAGTATTCAGACCCTTGCAACAACACTTGAAATTTAGCTCAGGTGCCCCCCCATTTCTCTTCTTTTTACGATTTAATGGCGGTTGGCAAGCCAACTTATGGTGTATTACCGCCACCAACTGGACTGGATCTCATTTCTCTTGATCATTGCTGAGATGTTTCTGCACCTTGATTGGAGTCCACTTGTGGTAAATTAAATTGATTGGACATGATTTGGAAAGGCACACACCTCTCTATAAAAGGCCTCTAAGCTAACAATGCATATTAGAGCGAAAATTCAGGCTGTGGGGGTGTTTTTCAGCTGCAGGGACTGGTCAGGGTTGAGGGAAAGCTGAATGGAACAAAGTACAGAGATATCCTCCATGAAAACCAGTTCCACAGTGCTCAGAGCACGTCCTCTATAGAGTGAAAGTGATCATTTCTCTTGATCATTGCTGAGATGTTTCTGCACCTTGATTGGAGTCCACTTGTGGTAAATTAAATTGATTGGACATGATTTGGAAAGGCACACACCTCTCTATAAAAGGCCTCTAAGCTAACAATGCATATTAGAGCGAAAACCAAGCCATGAAGTCAAAGGAACTGCCTGCAGAGCTCAGAGACAGCAAAAAAAATGTCTGCTGCACTGAAGGCTTCCAAGAGCACAGTAGCTTCCATAATTCTCAAATGGAATTAGTTTGGCACAACCAGGACTCTTCCAAGAGCTGGTCGCCCAGCCAAACTGAGAGAGCAATTGATGAAGGGCCTTGTGTAGACTGGTGACCAAGAACCTGATGGTCACTCTAGTTGAGCTCCATGATCATATATGCAGATGGGAGAAACCTACAGAAGGACAAACATCACTGCAATACTCCACTGATCTGGGCTTTATGGCGGTGTGGCCAAACTCAATCCTCTCCTCAGTGAGGGAAAGCTGAATGGAACAAAGTACAGAGATATCCTCCATGAAAACCAGTTCCACAGTGCTCAGAGCACGTCCTCTATAGAGTGAAAGTGATACTTTGACTCAAATTCTTCTGAAAAGATAGGTCAAGTATTTCAGAAACAAAACTATCTCCATAAAATCATTTTATTCACCATGAGTGGATTAAGAGCTTTGGATGTATCAAGGTATCAAGTCCTGATCATTAACTTTAACCTATGTATTATTCCCCATAATAGAAATGTTGCAACGTCCTCTGTAAATTGCATTGCTCTCCTAAATGCATAATGATAATTGACACGCAAGGTAAAAGTAGCATTTTCTTTTCAATGGCTATTTTAACTTTTTGCATCCTTTCAAGTTCATTTTATTCTTCCTAAGTCCAACACAATCTCGTGTCCGTTCGTAATTACTTTGTTTTACTGAATTGGCGGCTTTGTATACATTTGTACAATCTACTTATGCCCTGTTGATGGTTAAGATTTAGTGGGTTATGGGTGAACCTTTAAGCTTTCTTTTTTTTTTTTTTTTACTAAAAATCATGTATGTAATTTAATATGAAAACATGCTAATTCATACAAAATCACAACCTTGTAAAATACACATTTTATAACGAGATTGGGTTGTGCAGTCCCGGATGACAGAGACCTTGACCAGATAATGAAATTACACCTCGGGAGGATACTGTACAGAAAGTGAAAGTAATATAATGATACAATGTGAAAAGATAAACTGTGGAAATTATGGTGCAGCAATGACAGTAAACCTTGCTGTAACAATTTCTGGGAGAGGGGAGGCCATAATAGGGCAGTGTGTTCTACGAATCAGATGGCAGGAACCTTTGAGTTGGCCAATAACCAGGTACCATTTTGTGGAAAAGGGGTAACAGAGAGCGTATTTGAACATATTTATAAATGTTTTTTTTAATAATAAAATATGTGTCCCTCTCTGTGAAATCCAGGCTAAAGTCTTAAAATCTAATTATGAGATAACAAACATCAAAGTTTGATTTCAACTATTAATTTCACTCTGATTTCAATCTTTGACATGGTCTTACTCAGTTAATATTAAAGATACCAAGGTTACATTTTCACAGAATGTTCTTTACCTTATGAAGAATTTTATGCAGAATCAGTAAATCACAAAAAAAATACTTTAGCTGGGTTTTCACAGACAGGGTCACATATATAAATATTTTAAAAATGTAATTTGATTATATTTAATGCATGTTATTAAATGAAATATTTTTGTTTTACACCCTAGGTCAGGGGTGGCGAACGTCGGTCCTGGAGAGCCGCAGCCCTGCACTTTCACAGACAGGGTCACATATATAAATATTTTAAAAATGTAATTTGATTATATTTAATGCATGTTATTAAATGAAATATTTTTCCGCAGCCCTGCAGAGTTTTGCTTCAACCCTAATCAAACACACCTGAACAAGCTAATCAAGGTCTGAACAGTTACTAGGAAGCTACAGGCAGGTGAGCTTTAATTAGGGTTGGAGCTGAACTCTGCAGGGCTGCGGCTCTCCAGGACCGGAGTTCGCCACCGCTGCCCTAGGTCTTCACATGCAGAACAGTGTTGAAGACCCAGGAGTACATTGGGTCGTACATTGCATTTACGTATGCGGTCACCAAATATGCAATCCTGCCAGATGCAAATATTACTGCCTCAAACCAAGCCTCCAAGCTAACAAGGCTTGGAGGCTTGGACCACCTATGTCAGGCCGCCACATGCACAAACACCTGGGGTGGCTGTGTCAGGAACAGCTTTCACATGGAGCGATAGCCACTCATGTCAGATCACTGACTCTGGAACTGTGGCAGTAAATAATGCAAATAAAGTTTCCATTTCATTTGCACTATTTACATTTTACTTCTGTCTTCATGTCTATTTGATGACCTGATATGAAATAAAAGAACTCAGCATTATTGTCTGATTATTAGCTAAACTTTACATCTGCTCTCTTTGTATTAAACTGTAGGATTTGACCATTCCAAACTGTACAGTCAGAAAAATTCCTTCATTATCCATAAGGCTTTCTTTTACAAAGCCACTTGGCTTTGGTGTTACTCTTTTCGCCTTTTTTATTTGTTCTGTTTTTTATGATTTAGAACAGTGGGGTCCAATCCTGCTTCTGGAGGGCCAATGTCCTGCAGAGTTTAACGCCGACCCCAATTAAACACACCTGAACCAAAACAATAAAGGTCTTTAGGATTGCTAGAATCTTCCAGGTATGTTAGGACAAGCTGAAGCTAAACTCTCCAGGATGTTGGCCCTCCAGGACCAAGACTGGACACACAATTGGTCTTCTTTGTTGTGATGAATGCCATCTTACGCTTCGACAAACCAGGCTCCCACCAGATGTCATCATTTATCATCTGCATGTCTCTGGGTTTTGGAAAGCGCCCACACACTAGTCTTAATAAGAGCACTCCCAGTGTTCCTGAAAGAAAGCGATTTGTCTGATGGATAAGCTTGAAATACAAAAGCATGTTGTCTCCGCAACATGCAAAAAACATATCTGGTGTTATTTGAGATATGGTTTATAGGACACAGTTTAACTTGTCACTATAATTTAAATCCTAAATGTTTATGGCAGAATACTTACCACAGAATCTATTGTAGCCAGATTCTTGCAGGAGATCCCTGCATCCGAAATCAATCAGTTTGACTTTAAGGGTTTCTGTGTTGATCAGACATGAGTTGATTTTAGAATATTCCTTTCATGTTCCCGTTTTACATGTTATTGTACATAGTTCATTAATGGCACACGTCATTACGTCCCCACGTGACGCCATCCGACAAATTTCACGTATAAACACATAGCTCGTCTTCGTGATGATGCCTTGTACAGTTTTGGGTGTTTCATTTTTAATTTTATGAAAGTTTCAAGTGCAGTTAATTATTTGTACCTGCATACAGATGACAGCGGGTGTTGAAGCTCTTTTATTTGCCGTCAAACGATTGAGCACTGCTGTGTGTGTATCCTGTCGCAAAATGTGGCAAAAAGTCCTACACGATGGTAATAATGTGATTAAGGTGTTTATGTGTCTATACTGCACTTCAGTAATGCGACTAAAATAGGAATACTCCACATGTCTTAATTCGATTTCTGTTTACTACGATTATGACTTTAGCCGGATTAACAAGTGTCTTCAGGATTACTAGAAAATTCCAAGCAGGTATGAGTTGAAGCTGGTTGGAGCTAAACTCTGCAGAGCTGTGGCCCTACAGGAATTTAATTTGAGACCACTGGTGTAAACAATGAAAACAATTTTCACTGCCACCTGGGGTCCGTTCTTCGTACGTCGTCTAATTACTACATTGAAATGAAAATGTAAAGCCTGTACAAAAAGTAGAAATCGTGAATATAAATAATTGTACAAAATGTAAATAAAATAAAAACAGTGCACATTCCATTTATCTATTATAACATTTATGTAGTTTTGTTCGCCTGGCTGTTTCCTTATAAAAGTCCAGAAATTGGTCAAGTTTTTCGTCAGGTGTCTTTTTTAATTATATGATGTCATTACGTTGCTGTCTTGCCGCCAGCCAATCGCTGCATTGCTGATCGTGGTTTCGAGTATCGATACATAGCCCCCTTTAAACCAACCCATGAACGCGCAATTATCTCAGATAACTCAATCCAGCCATACTAATCATCAACAACAGGTGCGTTCGAAGAACCGAATTAGCCAGATCCTGATTAGCGCGATGATATCATCTTGGATGTGACATTTCATCTCGGATGTAATAAGCGACGTACGAAGAACGGGCCCCTGATCAACAAAATAAAACAAAACAAAACATTACAATTACTTTTGAACATCTCAAATACACAAAATAGTGGACATACTATACATTAAGAGGACTTGTAATGGACATAGTGAGACAAAACAATTTACTATAGCAAAATATTGTAAGAAAATTATGATACCTCAAGTCCATCCTCCAAGCATTTCCCTTCGTAGACAGAAGTATTCTCGCTCACCAAGCATTTTGCCGATTTCATACCAGCTCAAAATGTCGTCTGTTAACAAATAAATAATTGTGGTTGATATGAAATAGCAATTGATATGAAAGACAGCAGTGTGTGTAACTAAACTTACTCTCAAGTCCACTTTGTCGCTGTGTCGTGATGCTGAACTGACTGGACTGCGGTGGACTGGAGATGGAAGGGTTTGAACATGAACTGGCTTATCTTCATGAAGTGGGATTTCAAGGTCACTGGAATTAGCTTCCTGAAGACCATTATCTTTTAGATAATTTTGATCTAAACTGGGGAATATCTGTTCATGGCCTTGATCAGTCTTCAACTTTGATATATTTTGATACAATGTGTGATGGTGTGGGTTTGTAACACATTGTATTGTAACACTTCATCCTAGGGAACAGAAAATTTCCCCTAATTTAGAATTAGGTTTCCAATAATGGATACTCATAGCTAGCTGAAAAATTATGTATATTTTATGATTCAAAGAGATTAGGTACACAGAAAAACAGGTACTCTTTCTCAAATGGTTATTTGATTTATCCTTAGGGCTTAGGGTTTACAAAGTCCTGAACAATTTGGCCCCTCATAGCATCTAAATTGCTCCATCCATACACTCCCTCGCTATTTCCGTTTTTATGTCTCCTTTAAACATTCTCTCAAACCTTCAATGTTCCCTGACCACTGGTTTGATCATAGTTTTACTATTGTTTTATTTCTGTATTTCTCATAGTTTTATTTTGTAATTCTTGTTTCATTTTTGTATAGCACTTAGTTTACCCTTGGATGTTTTTAAATGTGCTTTATAAATAAATATTGTAAGTTACCTTGCCTTATAAATTGCACATTCATTCATGAAATTTATACAGAAAATCTACTTAAATGTTTTTTTATAATTAAAAAAAAAACTATATTTAATAAAAAGTCCCACTTTAACCTTTTACTTTAAAATAAAAATATTTTTATTCTAAATCTGTAAATGACTTACTGTGTCCACAAATACAAAACGGAATTCAACAAAAAATAAATTCAGACCACTATTATCCAATGACAAAAAAATAGAAAATTTAAGCTCAAAATTATTTATGTTGAATCAATTCAGATCATGAAGAATCACAATTAATAAGAGAATAACCTTTAAAAAAATGTGTTAAGATGACATCTACGGTCAAGGGGGAAATTAATTTAAACCCTGTAATATGCATGTATAAAATATAGTTGGTTAATGTCTTTAAATTTTAGTAGTTTTTTATTCATGTTGAAATTTATTTTTATAACATTTTGTTGAAATATGACGCTCTCATCCTACATAACAGTAATAATTTGCTCATGTTGCCATGTAAGTTTTCTGCAACTCTACTTGATAACATGACCATATTATTAAGTGTCACTCTTCAAGTCCTCTAGAAATACATATTTCAAAAACAAATCCGTCACAAAAACTATGGAATGCATGAAGTAAAAACTAGACGTTATACTGTATGTGACTTTAAGACAGCTATTGAATGGACTGTATGGCTATCCTTGACAGCCTCATTTTCATTCACTGTAAATTTGTGTAAAACAATTGGAAACTACATTTGAACATTCTTATAAAAAAAAATTATTCAGAGAAAAGAAAAAGAAAGAGAAAATGTACCAATAATACATAAGGCTAAGAAAATATTTTTAAAAACCTTACCAATATAAAATACAGAGATGAATACAAATAGACAGTTAAAACAAGAACAATAATGCACTTTCTCTAGTTTTCTTTTTTCTGAACAGGACATAAGGGCCAAAAGATTTCCCCAAGGTTTTTGAGGATTCCCCTGTGATAGAAACCTCTAAATGGATTGTATGAGGTCCGGCAGTTATGTGCAGAGTATGGATGGCAATGCTGGCAGTTGTGACCTTTTCCTTTAAACCACTCATTGGAGGTTTGATTTATCAAAGCCAAATACATGTGAAACATGGAATAACCCGCCAAGAGGAAAAAGACAAATACCAAGAAGCCCAACATGAAGACAATCTTTGGAAATGTCAGAAAGAGATGCTGTAACAAGAAATGCAGTGGAAAACGATTCATTAGAGAGACAATTCATGTACCCCAGCACAATTACTAGTTTTACAAGACCATTTCTGTGGTAAGTCATTATTACCTGGATGATAAAGAGCGGTCCAGCGGGCTGTTGCTCACCCTGCTCATCAATGTAGTGAGCATGCAGGAGTCCAGTTCGTAGAACAGCTTGGAGCAACATGTCTGCTGTAAGCACTGCAATATTGCCTGCCATGGCGCACACACTCAGAAGGTACAGAAGGAAGTATCTGGTGTTCTGGGCACCAATGCAGTTATTCACCCACACACAATGATGGTCAAATCTCTGGACACAGCGATTGCAAACCCCTGTACAAATTAGATCAATAGCATTTGTTGCATAATGTGGGGGAAATAATAAATAAATAAACGGCACTTACACTAATGGGTGCACTGGGCCATTATTAATCATTATAATAATATTAATAATAATAATAATAGCTTGTTTCGCTCAATTATTGTTTCTTGTTTGTTTTTAAACTAAGGGACAAAGGAAATTAGTTTGTGATTAACAACATAATGCCACTTAACAGAATGCGGAAAATTATTTAGTTTATGTGATATCAAATGGGTTTAGTAATAGCTGGTTCACAGCCGAGGTAATTAGTAGCTAAACTTTTATATTAGGATACCTTGACTACAAGGACACAGTTACAAAAAAAAAAAAAAGAAAATGTATGGGTTAAAAAATATGGTAGCAATGTTTTAAGTTTTACCGATTTAACTGAAATTTACAGTTTAAAAAATTTAATTAAATCATCATATGTTTATATCATCGTACAAAAATTTGTTTTGTACCTTTTATAATATAAAAAAGTGGATGAGAGAAAGACTTTATTGCAAGTAGCTTTTCCACAAACTAAGGGAAATAACAATACCAGGTGCACAGTGTCACAAATACAAAGTAACACGCAACACTAAAATAATGAAATAAACATTCATTTAACAACATACATTGTAAAATAAAATGCTTATGTACATGACTGATTTAAAAACTGAGAAGAAACAACAAATAAAATGAAAACCACAGGGAATTCAATTCAATTCAATTCTGATCATGTACTGGTTACTCCACTGCACACCTCGGATCACTTCCTCCTCACTCTTAACCTCAACACGGTTCCTGACACAACACATACCCCTCCACATGCCATCTTTCGACGTAACCTACTCTCACTCTCACCCTCCCGGCTATCTGCTATGGTTTCATCTTCGCTACTACAACTACAACTACTGGGGTGCCTCAGGGCTCAGTTCCTGGACCACTACTCTGTCTACATGGCATCACCTAGGCCCTGTCATTCAGAAACATGGCTTTTCATATCACTGCTATGCTGATGACACTCAACTCTACCTCTCATTCCATCCTGATGATCCGACGATAGCTGCTCGCATCTCAGCTTGTCTAACAGACATTTCTTGCTGGATGAAGGACCATCACCTTCAACTCAACCTTGCCAAGACAGAACTGCTTGTGGTTCCATCAAACCCATCGTTTCATCACAATTTCACTATCCAGTTAGGCACACTCATCATAACTCCTTCAAAAACAGCCAGAAACCTTGGAATTGTGATTGATGATCAGCTGAATTTCTCAGACCACATTGCTAAAACTGCCCGGTCCTGCAGATTTGCTTTATTCAACATCAAGAAGATCAGGCCCTTTCTTTCAAAACATGCTTCACAACTCCTTGTTCAAGCTCTTGTTCTGTCCAGGCTGGACTATTGCAATGCTCTCTTGGCAGGTCTTCCAGCCACTTCTATCAAACCTCTACAACTAATCCAAAATGCCGCTGCAAGATTAATCTTTAATGAGCCGAAAAGAACGCACGTCACACCTCTGTT